TAATTATAGTAGTGTAAGACAATTGGCAAATCACCAATTGCTAATTATAATTTATTAATAATAATTGCCCCAGCTCCTACCCACGTAACAATTAAAAAGAATGTAAATGTAAGTAGATTAGGTAGATAACAGTGTTCCGTATGCCTTTGGCACATAGTGTTAGCCACTTGACCACAGAAAATGTCTTCAGATAGCTCTGGTTCTCTTGGTCACGAAATGGAGATGCACACCGCACCCTAATGTTGGACATGACTAGACATGGAAACCTTTACCTTTTAGTCCTATTGGAGACCAAAGTTATGTTGCTACTTGCTTCATAGTCCAGTTGAGGTAATGCATCCTAGTAGAGCATTAGAAGAGAGTACCTGTAGCTCAGGGTTGAACGATGGAGTTCCAGGTGCTGTCTGAGTTTAATTATTATTTTTTTTGCAAAACCTTTATTAATCTAGGTAACATCTTCAATGTACTAAAGTTGTTACATAGTTGGATAGTGAAACATTTGCAAACAACAACAACAACAAAGTTCAGAAAGCATCAAAGACTTCATGCTAGTAGAACATTCATCACATATGGCTCCCACCTCACTCATGGCAGCTTCACAGCAATTGTCATAAAGTTTCTAGCAGTATAAGCAGCAAATCCTTCCTATCAGTAGGAAAGAAATAAGGTTATCTTAATCTTAACTGATTTTCAAAGAATTGTGATTCCTAACATCTATTTTTTTTCTGTTCGTTTTAATCTCTTTTCAACATTTTAAAAAAATATTAGTTATACAGTCATTAATAAGAATTGTTTGCCTAAATCTCATTTTCATGTATTGTGTGAGTAGCCTGATTTATTTAATATATGCACACCTATTAATACATATTATTAGGCAATATATACGGATGAGCTTGGGCCAGAATGGGTCAATTTGCCATGGTCATCTTGTCATGGGACAACTCTCCACAGGACAATTCAAAAATACAAAAGTTAAATTAATCTCAATGGAACTGTGGCCAATAATAATAAAAAAACAAAGTCAATCCAGAAATACAAGAGTTACAATAATTTCAATGAAAACTGGTCATCACGAATGACAGTAACAGAATGAAACCATTAATACAGCATTGAATTGACCCACGGCAAATTGTCCCATGGCAAGTTGGCTGTGGTGAGTTGTCCTAGATCCAGCAAGGTCCAGCCACTCTATTTCAACTCACTTGGTTTTTGGATATGGTCACCATCTTGACTTATTTGTAAAAATAATAAAGGTGAGATATAAATAAATAAATGATAAATATTATATGCAGACTCAAAGTATAGGTTTTTATTTAAGGACATGAGATCCTGCCTCTTTTGGATGAGTGGATGCAGATTGGAAATTCAATTTGAAGACAGAAAACAGACGCATTACAAAAGAAGACATTCTGCAACCACTTTGAAAGGAAACACATCTTGAAATATTCTTAAGAAACCTTTTAAGAGGAGTTTATCTCTGAGGAAATAACTTTATAGCAATAGACTTCTGATACACGGCATGAGTATGAATTCAATACCCATCATATCAACTAATACAACCATTAGTTGGTGACAATGTGAATAGAATTCAAAAGCGTTTCTTATCCTAGATATGCCACCGTGGTATAAAATACAGTTCACAAGGAAAAGGGGAGAAAGAAAGGCATTTCCCATTAAAAGCATTGAGTACACAAGGAGCTGGATAAAAGAAACATGAACAAAAAGACAACTGTACAAAGGAAAGGAAAGGCAATTATATATAACCGTGGTGGCGAACCTGTGGCATACGTGCCACAGGCGGCACGAAGAGCCATCCCTGTGGGCACATGCACCATTGCCACAGACAGAGGGACGTAGGGCCGGGCTCTTCCCCTCCCCCTCTCCACGCATCTGGAATCCGGGAACAGCTGTGAGAGCTGGGTGGGCTGAGGAAACCTATAAAAGGAGCAGTTTTGGTGGGAGAGTGAGTGAGTGGCCTTTGGAAGTGAGCAATGGTGGGTTTCAAATCATTTAACAACTGGTTCTCTGCTTCACCTTCCCTCTGTCTTGGTCGGGCTGGGCTGCTCAGGAGGTCAACTGGGGTGGGTGCAGGAGGGTGGGGATCATCAGGTCCCAGCTGGGGAAGGCAAGGGGGTCTGGCTAGGGGGGTGGAAAGACCAGGATACCTCTGAGGAAAGCTGCCCCCCATTGGCTGCGCCTCTCATCTACACTGCAGTCACATAGGAGTGCATAGAAGGGGCACTGAGCAGGGGGCTGGGGGGTCAACTGTCAGGGGGGAATCGGAGCCATCTCCCTTCCGCAATGCAGTCCCATTGGCATGGGTGGAGATGGCCCCAGGATGGTGGAAGGAAGCCTGGCCCATCCACTCAACACCTCTGACCTCTGCTTCTGCTTCTGCTCCAACCGGTCAACCATGCAGGAAAGCAGGAGGGGCAGCTGATGCATGAGATCTACTGCTTTGTTGGGCTGCCAGCGAGCAGCCAAGGCAGCTCCAGACCCCTGGCTGCCCCTCCACCTCCTCCTGCTTCCCTGCATGGTTGACCAGTCGGAGCAGCAGAAGAACCCATCAGCCATAGAGTAGATAGGCCCAGGCCAGGCAAGGGCCTTCTTCTGGCTGTCCTGGGGCCATCTCCGCCTGCGCTGATGGGGCTCCATGACCAGTTTGTCATTATGCAGGACAGCCAGCATGCTATGGCTGCTGGCGGACACCATTGGCCCCCGTGCACTCCCTGGCCTCTGTGTGTGGGGGCCAATGGTTCAGGCAGCAGATCAGAAGTGAAGCTGTGCCACCCATCTTTGTGCTGGTGGTGGTGGGGCGGGAGAAGGCAGGATCTGGAATGCACCCACCCTTTGCCTCTGCTGCCCCACATTGTCCCACATGTGCCTCCAGGTGTGCAGGACGATGGGGGTTAACAGTGGGGGGTGGGCGTGTGCCATAGCTCACTTCCCCTACTGCTGCCTCCACTAGTGCGAGGATGGGCAGCACACCTTCACTTCCAGATCTGCTGCCGGCTGGGCTTGGTGATGCAGGGATCACTGTCGTGCCTCCTTTGTGGTTGGCCGGTCAAGGGGCTCAGAGCAGCAGGAGCAGCAGCTGCCGCCCCCATCAGACTCATGTAGACAGGGCCTGCACCAGGTGAGGGCTCCTTTCCAGCTATTCCGGGGCCATCTCTGCCCATGTCGATGGGGCTGCAGTCCACTCACATTGATGGAGTGGCTGCTGATGGACACTGTCAGCCCCCAAGCGCTCACTGGCCTGTGTGTGTAGGGGCCAATGGTGTCAGGCAACAGCTGCTCTGGCCCCTGCCTTCCCTTCCCTTCCCTTTTGTTGTTGTTGTTAGTTGCAAAGTCGTGTCCGACCCATCATGACCCCATGGACGTTCCTCCAGGTCTTCCTATCCTCTACCATCTTCTGGAGTCCATTTAAGCTCACACCTACTGCTTCAGTGACTCCATCCAACCACTTAATTCTCTGTCGTCCGCTTCTTCTATTGCCCTCAATCTTTCCAACCAATAGGCCCTTGTCCAGTGAGTCCTTCCTTCTCATTAGGTGGCCAAAGTATTTGAGTGCCTTCCCTTGCCCCACAGCAATTGGCACATCAACTCTGCCTCACCTCGCCCCGCAGGATGAGTCTCCACCCCATCGTCTCATCCACCAGAGACCCCTGGATCTCCCCTAACTCTACCCGGCCCCCACAGATGCCCCACCCGAGCATCATCAAGGTGGCCATACCGACTGTGGCCATGCCCACCCACTCAGCCGTGACCACCGTGGCCACACCCACCCAGTTGGCCATGCCCACCCAGTACCCGACAATAAATAAATGGGTTTTGCATTGCAGTTTGGGCACTCGGTCTCTAAAAGGTTCGGCATCACTGCTATATAACTAGATACTTTGTGCAAAAGAATGGAGGACTAGTTGATATAACTGAAGGGAAAGTGAAAAATATATTTTATAAACTTAAAGAATTGAGAAATGAAATCAGATACATTTACAGAAAGATTAGTTAAAAGTCTGGGTTACAGGATGGAACAAGAGAATGGCAAGATGTGTGACGATTGTAGCCAACATTTAAATGTATTACAAGTATCCTTTGACTTATAAGCATTCATTTAGCAACCATTTGAAGTTTCAACAGCACCAAAAAAGTAACTTATAACTGTGGCAGCATCCTCACACTCATGTAATCAAAATTCGAGCATTTGGCAACTGGCATGTACTTATAATGGTTGCAGTATCCCAGGGTTATGTGATCATCAATTGTGACCTTCCTAGCCAAGTCAGCTTCTGACAAGCAAAGTCAATGAGGGGAACTTTATTTGCTTCACAACTATGGCAAAAAATGTCATAAAATTGGGTGAGACCCAGGTAACATTCTCCTTCTGGTCCCAATTGTGATCATAAGTCAAGGACTACCTGTATAGCAGAAAATCATTATTCAGCACAAGTGAAGCATACATAACTATTTCTTACACCTTTCAGTATACTGAAGAATGCAAAACAAAAGCCCCAAATAAATTGCAAGTTAATGAACAGTTACTAACAATGCTTATTTGAACCAAATGTTTCCAAATGTTGAAAATGCATATTTTTAATGTACCAAAATGTGTGCAATATTCCTGTCATGGAAATACTTTGTTTTTGTGCAATGACTGTCTGAAAAATATTTAATTGCATAAGCTGATCTGTGTCTTTTTAGCAATGCTTATTAAAATTAAGCACAACCACATCACTAAGATTTTTCACTAAATTATCCCACTGATCAGCTTCAAGATTACAAATACTACATTAAGCTTCAAGGTTACAAATAATACATTTTGAAAAGGCAAATGTACAGTGTCATCTGAAAAGCCTTGCTATGTAAACATTTGGAAATTATTTGATTTCGATTTTTCTGCTGTTTCCATTTTTTTTAAAAAAACCCACATATATTTTCAGTAGTATTGGCAGTGCATGTAAAAATGCCTCTTGGGGAACTTCAAATGTATGAATAGATTCTTTCTGTATGAAAAGAGTAAGTCAGGATAGATTTATTTAGAAGGCTATTGAAAATTTGTAAAAGTGTAAGAAAAAATATGCATACAGCCATGTGTATTATAGACACACATTAAAGGCATTCGAATGTTTTGCAAATCCAAAAATACCTTATAGGATGGCAACAATTAAGCATCCACAACTGTAACTGTGAAATTCAATTATGAACAACTGTGGTATTGAAAACAGTAGCTTGACTCCATTTTCAAAACAAGCCTGAGAGTCCCATTTTTCTCAGACATGGCAGTAATAAATGCTGCAATTGCAAGCCCAGCAGCCAAAATTGCAGAAAAGGGCTCTGACTACAGATTTTCTGTTCCTCTTTAAAAATGACTTAAAGAATAAAACGTCAGGAGCTCAGCATCATATAGAACACCTTTAAAATTTTCAATGTGAATTATAGTCAATATAAGATGAAACTGATGAGTTACTGTAAAAGATTAGGAAACTTGGGCAAAAGGCATTTTATTCTTAAAGCTCCAACATAACTGTCAGGCTGAAGGAAAAAGAAAAGCTACATCAGAAATTTCATCTTTTTAAATGCCTTAGTAACAAACATGAGTCTAACTTCCAGGGTTTCTCAACTTGAAATTTTAAAATGTATGGACTTAAATTTCCCAAAATTCTCCATTCAGAATGCTGGAGAATTCTGGGGGTTGAAGTCCATGCATCTTAAAGTTGCCACGTTTGAAAATCACCCTCTATTCAATTATCAGTCTATCCTTTGACTGTGGCTGAATTACACATAGTTATGTGAATTCTGTTTTCAGCTTGCCATGATAAGTGAATTCAACCTGCTTTACTTAGTGTTATGTGTGACTCAACACTAAATCTTAGTCCTATAAAACAAGTAACAATCCAATGTCTGTGTTTCTGGGAACTGGGAATAGCAAAATCATTAAAACATAGGGATGTGGATTTAATGATTTATTGGAAAAGCAGTTTCCAGAATAAAATATTTTTGTTCTTAAATTATGTCCAGAAATTCACTCCAAGTACTGTTATGTGTTGAGAATCAAAAATGGTATTATTTAATGGGATGTACAAAATGATAAAAAACACCTTATAATAGTTATTTGTTTAGTGAATGACATCCCCAGTTTAATGACAGCATACATTAGAACCAAATATTTATATCCAAAAGCACCTGGAGCAATTCCAAGTTAGACCAGAAAGAATTAACAGCATGAAGAAGATATATGTAAGAAGTGTTAAAACATTGAAGAAAAGAAAGATATCAGTCATTAACAAACTTTTTTTTTCATATTGCTCTTCTCTGTACTAATTCAGAAATCTCTGTACTAATTCAGAAATCTGTTTCAAACAGCTGCCAGTATATTTTGTGTGAAACAGATGAAATGGTTAAAAGAAGACAAGCAATTATTGCAAAGATACAATTGATTCCTCTTGAAATCTTTACATACAAGTATGACCGAAGGCTTTTCGTGGTACTTTATCTTAAAGATTTTTACAGCATGAGATAAACAGAGCACCTTTCATCATCTTATTGTAGAAACAAATTTCAATTAAACACAATATCTGAGCAGAGAAAACAATTTTTAAATGCAGTTTTCCTTAAAATCACATAAGGATTTGACCCAAAGAGTTAAGAGCATCATTTAGATTTAGCCAGTAATTGCCCGTGTAGCAAAAGTCCCTAATCCCACGAGCCCCAAATGGAAGTGTCTCCTCCCCCTATTTTTATAGCCCATAGAGTTCTGCAGATCATACTTCTAAACTCCAGAGGAAGCCTGAAAAGCAATAATTTGTTTTTAAAATAAAAAGGTTATGGATCTGATTAGGAATTCTTAGCACTATCCCCCCGATAATGAATAGGCAAAATATTATCAGCTACATTTATTTTATATATTCTCTTGTTATCCACTCTTTATCATTATTAATTACTGAAAAAAATAAATTTAAAAAATGCAACTTTTGGATGTCAAAAAATTGCTTACTTCTGCTTTGAATATCTTTGGAGTCAGATTTCAGATTGATCTAAAATTATAAGCATTATTTCTTACAGTACCTCATTTTTCAAGCTTACTATTTTATTCAAATTATAATGATAAGACTTCAAAAAGTTAGATACCTTACATCACATTATTTTGGAGGGGAAAGTTAGATTTTTATTTCCTATCAGCAACTTTCCCATTAGCAGATTTTTTAATCTATTTGACCAAATAACGTTTTTTCTCTACAAAATATAAATTCTAAGACTTCATGAGCACCTGGAGCTAATTGTTAGGGCAGTGTTTCACAAATAATTGTGAAAAATAAATTCTGAAACATATGGAAATGGCAGCTTGTTTGCAACTCTTTAAAATGTACATTTGGTCCTAGCATAGAACCAGATGTGGTGTTATCTGCAACAAGATCTGGAGAAAGATATGGCTACTTTAAAAGAGTTGCAGACAGCTGTGGCAGTCACACTCCCATGTGCTCCAAGATATTTATATGGGATTAAAACCAAAATTTTACCCAGCCCTTGTTTGTTTCCTTGAATGCTGCTCTGCAACTTTAATCTCTGTTCTGCTCTTTAACCAGAAGGGTTAAAATAATTAAAAACCACTAAACATCACCAAGCTAAACCAAAAATTGACAGAGTTTACCATGGTTTTTCCTACCATAACTAGTGGATAAAATATTTTCATACATTTTTGTATCCAATTTTTTTTATACAAAACTACTTTTTTGACAGTCATTTAAAAATTACTTGTGTGCTTAAATGTTCCTTTTTAAAATTATTCTGGAGTTTAGTAGGTTTGGATTGCAGAGATATTACATTTATCTGCTTGTTAGCTACTTCCAGTTATGAATTATTTTATATTTAAGACCAATTTCTATTATGTATTTCTATTTCTATTTTGTTTATTTTTAATTTCTAGTATTTATTTATACTGTTGTAATTATTACAGGGTGATGCTTTTTAAAAATCATGCATATTCAATGCAAATAATTCTAATGAATGTTGAGTTTAAGATTGGTTAAAAAACTCTAAGCATGAAACAAAAAAATTATGAGTGCAATGTTATTAACAAAGAAAAGAAAACCATTTTCATTACTTAGGGGCCTTTTTAAGCAGCATCTTATAACATAGAAAGAAGCTGTCACAAACATCCAGCTACTTCCAAATGCCACTCAGTAGCTGGAAACATCTGCCCAGGTTCAAAAGCTAAGTAAGCTTATGCCTTGTTAGCATGTGGGTGTATAATCACCAAGGAAAACAGCAAGGTTGTAGCCCTGCCTTGGGAGATAAAAACATCCTGAGAAAGCCAATGCCAAGCTGTTTCCATAGTATTGCCAAGAAGACTACATAGTTTTGTTCCAGGTTGTCACTATTAGTTGACCTTGACTTAAAGCTGCCTTTACCTTCAAGGACAGGTAAAAAGATTTTGTGAGCACAATCACGACTTGCATTTCCTAAGTAAGCTTAGCCAAATAGGCTAGGTGCAATAATCTCAATTCAGTAATCAAGTATGATTTAAAATGATGAATGGGAATTTCATCTTACTCAACTTCTGCTGAGATATGAGACCAAAAGCATGTTAAACAGCTTGAAAAATAAGACTAAAATTTCATATAGGCCCTTGGGAGCACATATGTTACAAAACATCATGATCTATATTGATTTTATTTTGTCCCATAATTTCCAAGTTGGACTTGGTAACATGAAAGATTTGATTGTTACTCTGAAAAAGCACCATGATTACAAAGTTTGTTTTAATCGTCCTTTTCTACAATCACTTCACCATGAAGCACTTTTCTTCTTTGACGTAGCATGTGAAAATACAATTGTGGAAACACTAAAAAAGCAAAAAACAAAACAAGTTAGACTATGTTGAAAATAAAATGTGCAATCAAATTGCAGTGTATTGAATGGGTGCAATATGGAATTGAATCCTGGATTAGTAAATTGGTTAGAATGATTCCTATCTGAAAGTCCAAGAATTGCTTTTAACTTGTGTTTTAATCTTTGATAAGACTTTTATTACTATTTCAAAATACTAATTTTGAATTAATATATTCATTAATAATTTAATGAATAGCACTGGATAGTGTTTTACTAGATAGTGATTTCAATTTTTCACTTTGGGAAGATAATAACTTCGTGATTTAAATTAAAACATGCAGGGAAGGAATTATCAGTTTTGCAACACCTGAAGTATACCTTGGTCCCATCTAGTGCAGTTTTGCCTATTCCAGTAAACAGCAGCTCTTCATGATCTCTGGCTCACTACAATTTTTTCCAGGCTATTCAAAATCCTTTTTAATTCTAAATATCACATCTAAGCAATTGTAATGCATGACAGAATTCATTTAAGGTCCATGTTTTATTATTAAACTATAGTTCATCTCAAATGAATATAACATTCATAGCATTCTTAAAAAGTAGCACTATACAACAAAAAACGTTTATACACATGTACACATTCGCTGAAGCTTACATGGTATATATGAGGCCATGATGATGAGCAAAAAATAGTAGTAGTCAAAAGACACATTATATTTGTTGGGAAGCCTCACAGAAAACATGCCTGATCTCTTCACATAGGGTAATGCTGCATAAATCGTTAGAAGTTCACCAACAACTCCTACTGGATATAAGATGATGAAAAAATTGTATCTGGAAGAAACAGCAGATAAATTACTTGTCTTCTGCTTTGCTGTAACATAACCAGTAAAGGAAAGACCAACTGCAAGTCTATGTGTACTTATCTGAAATAGGTTCCATGTAGGATGGTTTGTCATGTGAAAAATATATTTGTATCCAGCACACTGTAGTGTTCTTAACATTGCTTTAAAATATGTATATGTTCTGGTGGGCAAGCCAACAGCTGAATATCTTTTTCAGGGGTCCATATTATTTTGAAGGCTTGCCTGAAAACCTGTTCACAGGGATGTCAGTGGGGAGAGATCTTGCAACCATCAACTAAAATTCCATCCTTGCATGTGAGGAACTGTCTTATCTCATAGAGGTTAACCAGTCTCACTCATTCCAGTGGAAAAGACCTACTTGGGATCCCATCAGCCAAAGGATTTTAGCTAGTGGAATCCAGAAGAAGCGTCATTTCTATTGCAGTTCCCATTATCTGGAATATTCTCCTATTAGACATGAGATCCAGTCCCACACTCCTCACCTTCTGGAAACGCCTAGAAATTTGGCTCTGCCACGTGGTCTGTGATCAGGATAGCAGCTTGCTATACTGGGAGCAGCTGATGAAACAGGGAAGATTCTTTCCACCAAGCTCCTCATCCTATTGGTTTTTAATTTTAAACTTTTTATTCTATTTTAATTGTTTTTTGCACTTAACTGTTATTATATTGTAAATTGCCCAGCGTTAACTATATTAGTGAGATGGGTGCCCCAGGAATCCAATAAATAAACAAACAAACAAACCAGTAAAAGTGGATGCTCATAAAAAGGTATGACTTCAACTACACAGCTAAAGCTGTCATTTTCACTTACAGACACCACTGCCTACTTGAAACATAACTGCATAAAGAAAAGGCAAAGATAAAGATTTCCCCTGTCTAGTCGTGCCTGACTCTAGGGGGCAGTGCCCATCTCCATTTCTTACCCGAAATGACTAGACGTATAAAACTGTGTTATCTTCCCATCGAAGGGTATACTGTAATATAATGTACTGGCTTTTTACTCAGGCTTTATAAATTCAGCAGATCAATAAGGGTTCTGCTGAATCTTTATGCCAGGTAGAAAACTTTTTATTCTCACCAATAAGAGATTTTAAAGATTAATATTCATAATCTAAAATGTTCTAAAATATTATTGTTGCTATCTTTTTTTCCTTATTTGCTTATAAATATTTTTGTTAATTTATTTATTTTTCCTTCTTCACCTTGTTTTCCTATAAGAACCTGAGGCCTTAGATTATAATGACATAAATTAAGCGTGGAGAATATGCTCTAATAGTTTAGGATGGCATTAAAAATGCTAGGCTGAATGTTTTAAAAATGAAATAATGAACAGCAGTCAAGCAATCCCCACAGCTATTTCATAGGCAGCTATTGATGTTATATGGATAAAAGCTTACAATTGAAGGAATAGCATCTTGGGAAATGCTAGGATGATTTTTTTTTTTTTAAATGAAAGACTCTGGCTGCTTTGAAAAGCACTGCCTTATTTACTTGTTGTCAAGTCACTCACTGAAAACCTTCAAAAGGATTTGAAAATACTTGAAGAGTTTTCATGCAAGATACAGCATGCAAATGTAGTCTTCATAAAACAAAATCTTTTTTCAATTCATGCTGGGAAAAGGAAGGAGACAGTTAGAAAAACTGCACAAAGGGCATTCAATGAGGGAAATAGTTAAGATTTAAAACAGCAGTCCCAGAACCTGAAAACTTCATAAGATTTAATAAACTTGGAGAATATACAGGTCAATTGGAATCAATGAATGGGATTCAACAAGAGGCCCAAAAACACCTTGAAGGAGAAACTGGTTAATGCAACTTTAACTGTAACAACTGCAAATCAATAAACTGTAAGTTAAACCATGCCTGTGCAAAGATTTTTTATTACAGAACCAAAATTTGAGAATTTAAACCAAAAAAATCTTTTGAATTTTGAACACTCGCTTTAGAAAAGGTCGTGGAAAATGTCAGTTTAGAGCTATAATTTTTATTTCACAAAAGAATGGCCGCCAGCTAATTATCATATGGATTTTTGCAATTCTATTTTATATTATTGTTGTCTTTATTCTATAATATTCCGACAACTTGCAAAATTTCTGTTTTACACTTAGAAGAGCTCAGTACCATGATTTGAGAGTTAGTAAGACTATTATTATCATTGTGCATTTTCAAACAATTTGAACTAATTTGATGACTTTTTTTAAATGAACTACTCCGGTGCTTTGTATGTGCTATCTTTTTCTGAAAAATAATATGAAAATTATTATAGCTTTTACATCTATGCAAGCCTATAAATCAGATTTAGAAATTAAATTCTGTACACTCAGAAGGAACTTTCCAGCTAAATAATGTTTATTTTTACAACAAAGGATATTTGTGCAAAAAAAAAAAAAAAATCAGCAAAGTGGTAGGTTCTTTTTCTTCCTTTTAGCTCCATTGAAATGTTTGAAAATTTAAATTGCTAATTTACTGGCATTCTTTACTTTACATTGTTTATGATGTATTGCTAGTTACTGCACATTTAAGTAGTATTGTAATGATGTACAGCAATATTAACATTTAACTGAACACAGCTTAAGGAAAATTATCATATCTTGCTAAAGAAGCCTAAGTTCAAATCTCTATTGAGCTTGGAAGCTCTTAATGAAACTCAATTAATTTTATAGTTAAAATAAAAACTAGATCTATCTTGAGAAGAAAAAAAATGCCCCAAATGTTAATTGTGTAGGCTTTTGCAAAATATACTATTATGAATGAATCTCCAAAGTTAAAAATAGTTGTAACTGTTGGACAGTCATAAAAAAGCAACATACTATAATTACATGATTTCCAGAACCTCAGTTTCAATCCATATACTCTGTGAAAACCAACATGGCTGCAAAACTAGCTACTGAAAGAGAAATTACCTGGGAGTAAAGTTCATGTTGGATATGAATAGAATATTTGAAATTTAAGTTCTCTAATAAATCACTTTCTAATTTTTTAGATATGACATGCCTTTCCAGAAACTGTACTTTACATATTTCTATTACTTTACCTTCTATTACATTTCATTCCAGCAAAATAATGCCCCAAAATGGCAGAATAGAAAGTCTAAATTCTATAATAAGTAACATTTTGCATTGCAATATGCAAAAATGAAAGACACCTTAAGTGGTACATTGACTAGCTAATAAGATGCTGACCTAAAAACCAGGAGAGTGGAGTTCTAGTCCCCAGTTAAGAGATCAAAGCAGCTGGGTGACCTTGGACAGTTACTCTCTCTCAGCCTAACCTCTCACAGGGTTGTTGTTGTGAAGAAAAGGAAGAGGAGATATTTATACAAATTATAAATGCAGGATAAAAATCTAATAAGCAAATTAAAATAAATTCAATTTTCAAAAGACACACACAAGCATGCCTTAGAAATATTAAGGGCATGAGCAAAGGGAAAGTTAACGAAAAGTTACAGAATTCTGCTTTTAAAATACATCCAGTTCTAAGAACTTACAGTGTGTTTAAAGCACATCAAATCACTTTATACACATACATGGAAAACTCTCAAAGCAAATTTCTTCCTTGCTGATTAGGCATGCATGAAAAGCATGCCCAGAACAATAAGAAACTAAACTGCAAGGCATTCTCCACCTGGCCCATTTTATGAAGTATGGCAAATGGTTGAGCATATTGAATGTGTAGAAGGAATATCGACTAATCTCAGTCACAGTCCATATAACCAGAAAAAGAATAACACTCTCCTCATTCTGGATCTGTGGAGGTATAAAGAGCCAACATTTTCTTGAATCGTAGAATTGCAACAGACTCTCAGATAATTCACCAAAGCCAATATTATTTAGGACAAATAGAGATCCTGTCTATATTTTAGTCTAAGTGAGTAGGTTGCTATTAAATAGAAAAAGAAGCAAAGAACTGATACATGTAACATTCTTATTTTTAAACTAACTATTCTCTTCTGTTTCTAACATCCTTTTTTAAGATTATGTCTATATTATTTCTATTTGGTCCCATAAACACAACTATCGCCCTTCCCCAACCAGGTGCTCTCCAGATATAATGGAATTACAACACTCAGAATCTCCAGTCAAAAATGCCTAAGCTAGGTGGAGAATTCTGAATATTGAAATCCTACACATCTGGGGACTGGTAGCTTAAAGAATGCCACTATATATAGTTTCTCAGAAGCAACTTCTTTAGAATTCCATTGTAATTACATGTAGGGGTACAAGTGACACTATTCAGATAACTGGCAAAAATATTTTTTACAGAAGTTGTATTGGCTCAGATTTTGAGGGATTTCTTTGGCAGAACACCCTGGAACCAAAAAAGGATAAAACAGACATTAAAAATTATTGCACGTGCTTTTCAAAATAAAATGTTAACACTGCTGCAAGGAACAACTTTTTTTATTGTTCTTTGGTAGATGGGGAAAAGCCCATAGTCATTTCACTGTCTTAATAGCTTATATTGATCTAGCCATTCTTTTATGACATCTGCATCTATGATCGATTAAATTAATTCCCAGATTTACAAAATAAGATATATTGATTAGTTTCTGAAATCACTATAGACAAGTAATTTTCCTTTCACTAAAATATAATAAATCTTCTTGCTCAAAGGCTAATACACATTCCAACGGCATCTGAGAAATAAAGATTCAAAATTGTTGTTTTTTTAAGAGAAAAGAGGACTTTGGCCACTTTCAGTGAATGCACTACAAAAACAGAAAGATTGTATATTAGTTTTAAGAATATCAATTTTGTCCTTAATAAATGCATTCAATTTTTTTCTCTAGAAGTATTTAAGTAATAGGAATATTTTTGTTTAACTTCTGTACAAACATTGTTATGTTTGCACTTACACTATGGTTTCTGGGAGTGGGGGAGGCTAAATGCAAATTGATTATGGTCTAAAGAAGGGATAAGATAGAAATCAAATCGCTTTTTACCTTTTTTTCTAAAATGAAGAAACAACAATAAGCAACAATACTGTGAAACTCTTCATATTACGGTAGAAACCTTTATTATATATAAAATATTGTAAGCATTTTGCAGCTGTTTATCAAAACTAAACTCATCTCTGGATGTAAAATCAAAGCAATCTTATGCTTATTATGCAATATTACATTTTAGAAAACACGTTACTTACACCTTTTTCTCTTTAAAGTTATCTAAATCACCAGGGTTAAAATAATCTCTAGTCAACACTGTATAAATACCATTGTACCCATACGTAAGTTACTACTTGTGTTTTATAATAATACACTAAAGTAATATTTTTAATTTGTGTATCCTGACTTTTTGCTATAGAAAAGGAAGTGTGGGATTACTACACATTTAGATTTTCAAAGCAATTGCTCTTTTGAAGCCTGAATTCTTGTACGACCAGTCTTCATACTTATCAATGTTACAACATCTCCATGGTCACATGATCAAAATTTGGACAGTTGGCAACTGGCATATAACAGTTGCACAGTCCTGGAGTCATGTAATCACCGTTTGTGAGCTTCCCAGCCAGCTTCCAACAAGCAAAGTCAATGATGGAAGTCAGATTTGCTTAATGAATCACTTAACAACTGCAGTGATATACTTAATAACTGAGGCAAAAAAGTCATAAAATGGAATAAAACTCACTTAACAACAAGGACTACTTGTCCTGTTCCCTATATTCCACTCCGCCCCCCCCCCCCCAAATTGGCTCTAGTATTCTCCTGGAACCAATGCGTTTTACATTTTTCTTTCTGGGAAACATAAACCTAACCTGATCAATATCTTAGAAACTATGGGATATCTTCTATTGCTGCTGAACAAAGTATTTATATATAAACCATGGTTGTGTAAGGCAATTATCTAGTCTAATAAAAATAAACTTTCAATAGCATAGGAACAGAAAAACTGTAAGAGTTTTAATCAGGGGGAAGAGGCCAGTCCTACTTACTTTCCCACATAAGGAAATCACTAACTGCCATCTGCTGGTGAGAGATCCAACTGTTTCAAAGTGCATAGGGGTATACAAAAACAAACCAGCTTTATGTGAGCAAAAGTCTAAAATCTAAGATCCATTCACACAGTAATCACAATCAATTTACTACTAAGTCCTAAATGCAAAAATTGATCCAACAGGTTATAAAATATCATAAAACACTTTTTACCTTATTATAATAGAATCTGCACCCCATCCAACCAAAGTGATATAAAGCAATCATGAGTATAGTTAACCAGACTTTTTCTCAGTTTGTGCAGTAAGAAATGACCTTCCAATGAATGCATTTAAGGCTGCCATTTCCATGTCCATCTAAAGAGAACTTCTTCAACTGAGAATTACAGTCTTGATCCAATATATTTACTGACTGGATTAATAACTATACCATGAACTGATAATCCGCTTGTAGTAGTATATCAGAACAGAAGCTACAACTCTTAGAGTAAATACAATTGAAATCAATGGGGCACTGAGGGACTAGGCTCCATTCTTCCGTTTACTTTTAGTTTTCAGCAAGTCAAAAGCATAGAAATAGTATTTAAGGCATAGCAATTGCTCTTAGGATATATATCCAAAAATTCAGCTGCCTAAAAATATACATTTCTCCTCAAACCCCAAAATCTCTTTATCCAATTCCACTTTATAATATACATTGCAAGAATTGGTACCCTTTTCTTGGTAATTTAAATATGGAATGACAAAGCATAAGAGTTGTATATCCAACTTCAATGGTTTTTACAACCTCTTCACCCATATATAATTAGGGCCTTTTTCAGTTCACCTTATGGGTCTGTGCATTTCAGTCTTTTTTAAGACTATTGACAATGGATCTGTGCTAACTTATGTTTTATGTGAAACATGATATTGTGGACTGAATGATGCAATGTTCATTTTGACACTTACCTGCTTTATACTATGTGTAACAAACCACACCATGAAGATTCTGGAACTCACTTGGACCCCTGTCACAAGCATAGAAGTGTGCACTACTCCTTAAAAAGAGAAATAGGTCACCGTTGTCTAATAAAGTAAGAGTGGGCTTAGTTAACTGAGGAACTGAAAAGAGACTCACCAACCGCACAGTGGATTATCTGTAAAATTGAAAGGAGGGGAAGACAGAAGGAATTAGAACATGAGTATTCAGAATTGACTCATGGCTGGAAAATCTCTGCTTAGCTGCATTTTTTTCAGAGAGGTTTTTCTTACACATATACATGGAAATAATTAATTTAATTTGTACATGGATCTTGTATTAAGAATGAGTTTTAATATGGAAAATACAAGATATATAGTAACCATGGAGAAATTATCAGAGAAATATGTTCACATTTGGGAGTAGGACTCTGGCAAGAAAGAGATTGGTTACCTAATTCACTTTAGGAATATTAATTAAAAACAGCAGTAATAATGAAAAATAAAAGTAATAATAGCAGGTTCTCCTTTTTCTTATCTCAGCTAAAACGCATCCAGTTTAGATATACAGATTACTGGTTATGGCACTTTTGACCAACCTGGCATCTTCCTTATGATTTGAAGCAAATTATAGTGTGGGCACAGGGCTTACCTGTGCTATTTGGTGTAAAATAGTGTCACTTATCTATAATTTCTTTCTTTCTTTCTTTCTTTCTTTCTTTCTTTCTTTCTTTCTTTCTTTCTTTCTTTCTTTCTTTCTTTCTTTCTTTCTCTTTCTTTCTTTCTTTCTTTCTTTCTTTCTTTCTTTCTTTCTTTCTTTCTTTCTTTCTTTGTTTTTCTCTCTTCCTTTCACTTTTTCATAGTTATGACTAACATGCATCCCCAACTCAGCCATGACATTTATTATTGTGTATGCATTTTCTCTATTAATATCTGTTAATGCCCGAGGGGCGGGGGAGAGGCATGATTGCAAGTCGAAAAAATGAGCAAATAATTATATGGCATTAGAATTCAATATCTAATTAACCAATCCTATGACCTGTAAAATTATGAAATCTAGTATCTTGAAAAAAACATGAAAATAGCAAAATTGAAGAAATTATATGGCCACAAGAACATAAGATGAATGATGTTTCCAATATATCCCACTAATTCTCACCAAGGGCCATGCTGGTTGTATTGATAGGACGAATTCCAAAGAATTTGGATGGCCATGTTTCTTATTCATGTCTTAGTATAAAATCTACCTGGGACAACTAAGAAATTGTGCAAACTGAGCTTCAAATGCAGGCTACAGAAGGCTGATACATATGATTTCTCTAGGACCTAAATTTAAAGGGGCTTTAAAAGATTATAGTTAGGATTAGGATTCTCTGTTTTAAAGAACTCAGTTTATTTATTACATTTTTATTCTGCCTTATCTTGCAAGATAACATTTGAGGATTTCCCTTAAGTTTATCTCCATAGCAGCAAATCAGTGAAGGAATTTGAGCTGAAAGTGATTGTCCAGATACACCTAATGGGTTCTATGGGTGAGTTGGGACTTAAGCTTGGGTTTCCATATTTCCTAACCACTACACACTAAGCATTAATGTTTGATGTGCTTAACTTCCTTCCAATCAGTGCATATTTATGATTACAAATTCAAATTCTCAGGATATCAAAGCATAGGAAGACTTTCCCCATATTACTGCAAATAACTGTGAATGGATTATAGATGCACTCAATAGAGAACATATTAAGGAATCTTTTTTTTAAAAAAATCAGAAACAGACATTAAACTGCTACTGCTCAGAGACAGACTGACAGGGAATGACATCATAATGGATGACAGCCAGCAGAAAGAGAGATGGCTGGGTATCTGGAAACAGAGAAGCCCAACAATGCAGATCTTCCTGATCCTTCAGGAATTGCTGAACATGTTTCAGATGCGTCACAAAATAAATAGTGATAGTTTTTGCTTAATGACCAGTCACTTAGCAATTGTTCAAAGTTAAGACAGACTTCCCAGAATTACTTATGACTTGTTTTCAAATACCAGCTGACAGCTGCACCCAATGCTCAGTCACATGACCATGATTTTTGGTGTTTTTTGCTCGTTTCTGGCATTTGTTTCAGCAAAAAATAAGCAACCGCCCCCTCTGGGGAAAACAGACTCATTTAATGACAGTGGTGTTCACTTAGCATTCATGATGTTTACTTAATGACCACCACAAAAAATATTGTAAAGCTGAGCATGGTCACAGTTTACAACGGTAATCCCAGGCTCAATTATAGTCATTAGTTGAGAACTACCTATATACTCATGAACTAATTTAGATTACATTGCAGTCACCTGAAGAGGTTCTAAATGAAGTCATCTGAAGAGGTTCTAACAGAGTTATCATAAAATGTGCAACATTAAAGTCTGTAAGCTGAAGTGCTCTCATAGCACTTCCATGTGGGATGTCTATGACTTATAATAATTATATTTGACATCTCAGAAAATAACTATTGCAGTTGCATATATTTTATCAATGACAGGTGAGTACAGCTCTTATCTGAAAGCACTAATTCATTAAATACAGCTCTAGTAACTTCTAGCAATTTCTGGGGCTCTTCATTTTAAAAAAAGTCTTGGTCTGGAAACCATCATTTTAATTTCCAACAGAATCCCAAAGAGGCATTCTGGGAAAGTAACTATCAACTCTGACTCCAACTCTTTTTTGTCACAACTGAACACTTAATAAAGTGTCACGAAACAATTTGGAAAGGGCACCCTGAAAGCTACAGCTGACACCTCAGAATAAATCCATAAGTATCTTCTGATCTCACTAATGGCTCAACAGCCTCTGGCAACAATTAGTTTAGGCTGCTAACTACTTTTTGTCCAGATTTACATTCTCCTTTCAAATAAGATATATTTATTAAAAACTTACCTCAAGCAAAGCAAAAGTCTGGAAAAATTTAAGTGTCTTTTGAATGCTTTTATATAAGCCTTTGTATGTTCCTTTGTCCATATAGAACCGGGCCATGGCAATAGCCAGTACAAGCCACCTAAACAGAAAAACAATATCCTTATTGGAATAATGAACGGTTAAAGTATTTTCATGTTGTTCCATATCAGTTATGTATAAGTCATCATCTCTTAGACACTGTTATTCATCTGTATTTTGTATTTATAAGTAAGTGAAAGTGTTTTTGCACAGATAGAAATTCTAAAGTACTGGAAAGAATGGAGAGCAAGTTTACTCTGCAGCAAGACAACAATATTTCAGACAATTCCTTTCTCTAATCTCATCTATTATTCATGCTCCAACTGAATGTATTTTATTTCTTTTATTTACACATTTTGTACCACTAATTTCTAGTAATTTACAGCTATGCAAAATCCATAAATCATAAACAAACTGAAACCCGGGTAACAAGAGTGATTTTTATGTTTTTCAACAGCTATACAGAACAGCTGAGTTTTAACTCCCCATTACAAAAATGTAACAGAGGCCACCATGTAAATTTCTGGAGCTAATTATTCCATTAAGATAAACTGGTTCCTTACTAGATAGGTACATTAATATGCAGCAAATTAGGAGATCGTTTTTTATTTTCTACACAAAGCATTCAATTATGATTCCAAAATCATAATGCAGCAAAATGAAGGAAGATACACAAACAAAAATTGATAGCCACAAGTCTCTTTAAAGCAGTGGTTCTCAACCTGTGGGTCGTAACCCCATTTGGGGTCGAACGACCATTTCACGGGGGTCGCCAAACAACGCAGTCCGCCATTTTTTTCCCCTTTTCCTTAGCTGTGCTGCTCCCTTTTATTCTATTGGCTTTTCAAAGCCAATAGAATAGACTCTCTTGAATAGAGTCTAATTCTATTGGCTTTCAAAAGCCAATAGGAATTGTCCAGGCTGTCTCTGCCCTGCTGAGCCCGCCAAAAGTCCCATTCTGCAAACGGTGCTGCAAGTTATCTGCAGTGAGCTGTCTGGAAATTTCTACCTCTCCCTGCTGAGCAACTACTAAAAATGTAAGTAAAAGAAGGCCAGGGGTGGGAGGTCGGCGGGCGCAGGGAGGGTTGCTGGCACGCGTGGGGCCTGGCGGGTGCCTTACCTCCCTTGGGCTGGGCCAGCTGGTGGCCCAGCTGATGGTCAGCCTGCTCCATCTCTGCCGCTTGCCAACTATGCCTCGACCGGCACAGGGGGCGGCACCACGCATGTGCGGCGCTCCCGGGCAGGGAAAGTCCTCGACTTTCAACCAGTTGGGTAGTCCTCGACTTACGACTGGTTGGGTAGTCCTCGACCTACGACCGGTTGGGGGGTCGCGGCATTAAAAAGGTTGAGAACCACTGCTTTAAAGCAATTTTCTGAGTCAAAGGGAGGGCAGGAGGTGTAATTCAAGAAATGAAGCATACACTGCTCTCCCAGCATGGGGAGAAAAGAAGCCAAGTTCTACTTTAGATAGTGAAATGATCTTTGTGACTATTGTTATACAGTATAAGAAAGAAAATTTTGTCTGTTATCTCATTCCATATATTTCAAGCTCTGTTTTTTTTTTAGAAGCTTTCATAAACCTTAGTAAAAACTTAATAAATACAAAAAAGTCCAATTTGGATTGTTATGATTGACTACGTGCTATCAAATAACAATTACACAGACTTCACAGCTAGACCGTCTCCAGATAAATTTGATTGAGTAAACAAATAAAATAAATCTTAAGCCCGCTCTAGGTAGGTAGTGAGGTCTGAAAGCTTTTTAAAAGTATCTTATTAACTAGGAATAGAAGCTCGTCATAACATGTCCAACTGAGGCATATGATTGTCAATTGCAATAAACTGAATCTGAAACCAAAGTGTTCATGTGGAATGTTACTGAATACACAAGACATTATATTATACATAACCTTATAATAACTTGAGACACAGAATAAGGTCCTATACTAAGTTATGGATTGCTTTAACAACTGTTTGCGGAATAAGAATATCTGACTGCATACAAATAGTAAATATAAACAATTTATGCATAGTAGAAAGACACATCTGTCAATCCGTTTGGTCTAGTTGTTAAGCACCAGGTTAGAAAGTGGAAGACCATAAATTCAAGTCCTGCCTTAGCCATGAAAGCCAGTCATGGACCAGTCAGCTCAACCCACCTCACAGGGTTGCTGTTTGGGGAAAATAGGAGGAAGAAGGTATGTTGGATATGTTCACTGCTTTGAGTTATTTCTAAAAATAATAAAGGCAGGATACAAATAAATAAAATGAATCAAGCGAGATTCATTTTATTTATTTCATAGATGAAATTTAGGGGTTAAAATACACAAGTGCCTACATAGGAACAGAATCATAAATCACAAAGGGGGATTCACTAATGTTTGTGATGGAATGTAGTAAGGAGTGGGTTCCCATGAGGAAGTGGTTGAATTAAAAAAAAAGAGTAAGAGGCAACTCAGTCCAGTTACTACAGTATATGTGAGAAGTAGAGAGTGAAGACAGCCCTCACTAACAGAGGGATACAGAATATACTGTAGCTGCAGGTGGGTCCTTGGGAGTCTTCAGTCTGGCAAGAGTTTATTTCTAAGTGTGAAACAATAAAGAGCTTGGAAAAATTATGATCCCTGCCATTTTGGTTTTGGGCTTGACATGTTTGAAGACCATGCAAAAAGAAAAAGAGTTTTGGGGGCATGGGGTTCTTTTTCAATCTTTTTAATAATTTGAAATAATAAAATATGCCCAGGCAAAAGCAGATGAAAACAGCAGCATGCCTACTCTTTGGGAAAACATTCTATTGTCATTTACATCAATTATGGAAGAATGAACATCTCTTAATTTAACATTCAGAAGGTATGTTCAGAAAGTCCAAATCAGATCAGTAATGTAATGTATGCACCTAGCTAATTATGGTTTATTCAATATGCAATGATCAAATAAAACCATGGAGGTCAATAGAACCACTGTGCACGTTTCGTTTTAAACCCATCTAAAGCAATGCAACGGATTAAGGTGGACGAAACAATATTACAAGTTTGTAACAATGTTAGAAGTTCTCCTTTAAGGAGGTTTCCACTAATCCTCTTGTCGCCCAGAAAGTTTAGGGTTAATGCTCCCTGATCTGGCTCGGGTTACCGCGGCCATCTGGCCGGGGCAGGTGCTATCGAAGGAAGCCGGCTCAAGTCAGTGGGAGGGGACTGAGCGCCGACTGAACACGCTCTTGTCTTCGGCGGCCACCGCAATAAATTATGCCGAGGGAAGCAGTCTGCCCCATTCCACAACCCCCGGCCGGCATTCCGGGCTCGGGCTATACTTAACCTCTCCGGCGGGCTCGAGGGATGACGTGCTCGTCTTGCTGGAAGCCTGCACCGTATTAGGCAATGCAAGCAAGCCAGGGCTTATCCCCCAGTCGCCGCGCGCTGCCCCGCCAATGCCGCCCCTTTCTCCCCTCGCCACAGTGCCCAGCAGGTACAGCCCGGCCGGAGGTTCAGAGAGGAAGCCTTTCGTCCTGGGACGGGAGAAGGGAAAGTTCCGTTTTCGCCCCACCGCCGGCTCCACCTGCAACACCCGGCTCACCCGGCCGTCATGGTGATGTTGTAGAAGATCAGCCAGGCTGTGGTCACGGCGCTGCGAGGCCGAAGCACCTTCTTGCCATTCTCCTTCTCTTCCATCGACCCGTTGCCGGCGCTGCCGTCCCCTTCATTGGACGCCATGGTTTCTCTCCCCCGAGGCTAGGCGCAGACAGACCAAGGCACGCGCGGCCGCGAAAGGGACGGAGGGGAGGAGCAGAGCAGGCGGGGCCAGGCACAGGCGGGGCGGCCAGTTTAGGCACTCGGGCAGCGACTTAGTGGGGACGAGGGCAACTGTCTCCTCCCCCCTTCCTTTGCTGCGCTCCACTCACACAACTTTGTGTTGGTTCGTGTCGGCAAAAGAATTGTCACTTGCCCGCAGGTCTTTTGGTTGGGCGATTTTCAAAGGTAGCCAAATGAACATATTCTATCACAGATACATTTGGACCTTCCCCTTTATTGTTCCTAGGTAGCTTACTCAATGGGGAATGCGCTGCTTAGGTGGGTTGCACTACATAAACTCTTGAGCTTTTCTGCATCCGAAAGAATACCCGGTGGAAGTTGCAAGTTGTGGTTCAGCACACTTGGAAGGCTTCAAACTGGGATTCTGTAAAGCAGTTTGCACATTTCAAAATGATTCTCCTTATTTAGAAAAAGGAAAGAAAGAAAGAAAGAAAGAAAGAAAGAAAGAAAGAAAGAAAGAAAGAAAGAAAGATGGGTGCAGTAATTACTTGCATACTTTGGGTTGCCTACTAGGCTGAAAAGGTTAGTTTATGTTCCTTTCTGATTACTTTTAAAGACACGACTATAGTCAGCCGGTTTCATCGGTTTCTGGAGGGCAAAATGGAACTTCCAAATCTAAAGGTAGTAGCAGACCTCTGTGGGTAAACAATATACCACAGTGGGGGTCCCCAACCCCCAGTCCGTGGACCAGTACTGGACCACGGCATGCCAGCAACTGGTCTGCACAAACAAGAACCCCCATCCGTGGGATGCAGGCAGCACCTAAAACCACACACTCTCCACTCCGTGGAAAAAACTTTCTCCGTGGACCAGTCCCTGATGCCCAAAAGGTTGGGGACTTCTGTACTACAGTAATATAAGTGCTGTGGATAAATTCCAGGGAAGGTTACTGCTTCCTTAGGGCATCACTAAACTGATGAGCGGTTTGCTAATTTGACATGATTCAGCAGAATTTCTCTTTGTACCCGTGCTTTCTTTGGAATCTATGAGAATGAATGCATTGGCATGCATGTATGAGACAATTACTCTCATTTTTAAAGATCTTGTTATAATGTAGACTGCCTCAGTCTCAATCCACCATGGGAGCACTTTACATTCCTTTTAAGGCAGGGTTGTCAAACTCAATTTCATTGAGGGCCACATCAGCATTGTGGTTGCCCTCGGGGATTTGTGTGTGGCCAGGATGGGTACAGCCTACTGGGTGGGCGTGGATGGAGTGGGTGTGGCCTACTGGATGGGCATGGCCAGCTCTACATCATTTGCATCAAGGGTGCCTGTGGGGGCCTGGGCAGGAGTGGGACAGATCTGAGGGTTTCTGGCAGAAGGGATGGGACCAGGGCAAGTACCAAGGCATAATCCACTGGAGGAGCCTCACTGTTCCTCTTAGGCTATGCGGGGGGGGGTAGATAGTGGTGTGGGCTGCCGGGAGCCCTGGACAGCAGAGGTCAAATGCCCAGCCTGGCCCCACTTCCCCAAGGGGGCACCCAGCTGCACTTACCTCCTCCTTAAGGTGCTGCTGCTGCTGTGCTTGCTCGCCTTACCCAGGTTGCTCATGATGGGCAGCAGTGCAGAACAAAGGCAGGACTTCCCTCAGACCCTCCCTCTCTTTCTTTCCTTCCTTCTTTCCTTCCTTCCTAAGTACAGAGTGGTGGGAAAATATTTGAGATGAGGGAGGGAGAAAAACAGGCAAGAAATGCAACTGGGGAGGTGTCACCCTTTGTGAGGAATGAAGAAATGCACCATCGCCTGGAAGTGGCCAGCACATGGCCTTCACTACATATCTGGCTTGGTGGGCTCTGATGGAGGGGATGCCATGAACAGCATGAGAATCAATGTTACCTGCGCAATGCCGTCCAGCCCCCAGTCTGCCCGTTTTTGGCAGGTAGTAAGGTACTCTCCTCACAGCACTGAGAGGCTGAGCCAGGTGGCGTGAATCTGAAAAGAAGCGTGATGCTGCCCAGCCCCCAGCCTGCCCGGTTTTGGCAGGCAGTGGGGCACTTTCCACGCCAAGGGGTTGAGCCAGGCGGTGCGAAGCTCGCCAGCTTTGCACCTTGCTGCCCGCTGAAACTGGGAAGGCTGGGGGCTAGGCAGCATTGGACTTCTCATCAGATTCATGCCACCTAGCTCAGCTCTTGGCGCTGTGAGGAGAAGGCCCTGCTGCCTGCTGAAACCGGGCAGGCTGGGAGCTGGGCGGCCTCACGTTTCTTTTGGGATTTGCGCTGCCCGGCTCAGCGTCTCGGCGCTGTGAGGAGAGCGCCCCACTGCCTGCCAAAACCCGTCCCCCAGAGGCCATCAAGCAAGATATGTGAAGTAGGTGAGGGCCATTTGCTGGCCACTTCCAGGCGATGGTGCATTTCTTCATTCCTCACAAAGGGTGACACCTCCCCAGCATGCACCCAGGAGATGGGGCCGATGCGGCAGGGGCTGGTTCCTTGCTGTTTCCAGACGGCCTTGTAGAGCTAAGACTGAATGCGTTTCAGCATAGATGGCCACCACAAAATTGTACATTGGCTCCCGGCCAGCCTGGGCCAGGGCCAAGGCAGCAAGGGCCGTCCCTCACTATTTCCAGGATGGCTTTGCGGGCCACATGAAACCACTTTGCGGGCCACATCTGGCCCCCGGGCCTTGTGTTTGACATGTCTGTTTTAAGGTGTCAGTTTTCAGGTAATGTATTTCTTCTTTTAGACCTGTGTTCAGAACTAACTTGAGTGACAGACTAATGGTTGAATATCTTCATGTTAGTTATCTGTTTGTCAAACATTTTGAAATGTGGCTAAACCCTCAAACCAGGCATTTACCCACAGTTCCCCATGCCTTCTTATTATTAAGGAGAACAACTGATAACTGCTTTTTCAACTGGGTGGATAGGTTGGATGGGAAAGGAAATGAAAGCTGGGAAAACCACCAATTACTCTTCATAAGTTGTTGCACAAGAAATCTATACAGACAGACTCAGAGGAAGGTGATTATGATTATTCATTTAACAACTGTTCAGAGTTACAATAGTATTTAAAAAAGTGACTCATGATTGGCCCTTGTACTTATGATCATCACAACATCCCCATGGTCATGTGATCAAAATTCAGGTACTTTGCAATCAGCATATATTTACAATTGTTGCAGCATCCCAGGGTCACATGATTGCCGTTTGCAACCTTTTGACAAGCAAAATCAATAGGATAAGATTTGCTTAATGTCTGTGTGAATCCTTTAACAATCACAAAATCCGATGCAAGTTACTTAACAACCACATCATTTAGCAAAGGAAGTTCAGGTCCCAGTTGTGATTGTAAATCAAGGACTACCAATATATTTTCTGCTGGCTTAAGAATAGGAGGAGTGTACGTTAACATGACTGTAAGGAAAAATACTTAAACAGACAGACAAACAAACAAACAAACATTGGAGTCAACAGAGAATTCCAAACCATAAAGTTTATAAATATGCAGAGAGCCCAACTGGGACTATGAAATACCTTAGTTGGGTTCAAGATTATTCTAGGTTGAATAATCATACTTGTTACCTAGAGGATACAGAGATTTCTTAGAACCTGATAGCTCTCAAACTGATTAATATAAGAAAACATACCTGGATGTAACTTTTGTTGTGGGAATGGTATAAAATTTATAAATAAGCTGGTGTTCAGAAAGAACGAAGCACAACCGTTTTCATTACAACTACCGTGGGGATATGGAGTGACATATCTTGAAAAACTGGTTTTTACTTAAACCAATAATTAAGTATCCTGGAATGGAGTACAGTTTGAGTCTGTGATGAATGCAACTAAGCTAGAATGCAGAATCTCTATTATATAATTACTTGTCTTTGGGTGAGAGGTTACATGTGGCTTAATGGATGTGGGATGCTATTTACCTTCAGCTTCATCAATTACTTTTTGTAAAATATAAAAGTTGCAGCAGCAATTGTGAAGGCAGAGATGAGGTTTTTAAGTTAACTATATACTCAGATTAGTAAGGCTGGTATCAAAAATGGGTATTTTTGGCCATCTGCTGAAGGATAACTGTCACATTGAATCTCTTAGTGAACCAGGGTCCACAAGAAAGCTTTGTTAACAATCCTTCAAGATAGCAAAGCCATAAAGAAAATTCTTTGCAGCCATCGATTGTGTGGACTTTGCAGCCTAAAGTCGGTAGATTAGCTCTATGTTATTTCAGAGCCAGCTTTGAACCTGTGGCTGGCTTTGAAAGGTGAGTTAGAAGAGAATTGATGATGCTGTAGAATAAGAGCAGACAGAGCTGAGGGGGAGGAATTAAATTCATCATCAGTTTAGAGTCCTTGTGTTGCCACAAGAGATCCAAGTCCCCCATGAATCCCATTGACTCTTAACTAACACCAATTTATAGTAGTAATAGTAGTAATAGTAAAGTTGGAAGGGACCTTGGAGGTCATCTAGTCCAACCCCCTGCTCAGGCAGGAAACCCTACACCATTTCGGACAAATGGCTGTCCAGTCTCTTCTTAAAAACTTCCAGTGTTGGAGCATTTACTGCTTCTGGAGGCAAGCTGTTCCACTGAGTAATTGTTCTCACTGTCAGGAAGTTTCTCCTTAGTTCTAGGTTGCTTCTCTCCTTGATTAGTTTCCACCCGTTGCTTCTTGTCCTGCCTTCAGGTGCTTTGGAAAATAGCTTAATTCCCTCTTCTTTATGGCAGCCCCTGAGATATTGGAATACTGCTATCATGTCCCCCCTTGTCCTTCTCTTCGTTAAACTAGACATACCCAATTCTAGCAACCGTTCCTTATATGTTTTAGCCTCCAGTCCCCTAATCATCTTTGTTACTCTTCTCTGTAGCTCTTCTCTTCTAGAATCTCAACATCTTTTTTACATCGTGGTGACCAAAACTGGATGCAGTATTCCAAGTGTGGCCTTACCAAGGCATTGAAGAGTGGTATTAATACTTCACGTGATCTTGATTCTATCCCTCTGTTAATGCAGCCTAGCACTGTGTTGG